GATATGTTTCAGAAGAGTGGCCCCATTGCTGATCGAGTCATAAAGACTGGCCAGAATCAGTTCTGCCAAACAGATGTTTTGGCGGTGATGCAGTTGGGTAGCAAGAGTGACCATCTTTTTGGTCACCTGCAGAGACTTCGAGCAAAACACAAAGCGAGTTAGCCATAAGGCTAAAAACGCTATGTGTTCGACATCCGACACTGTATCCGTCGACCTGTCATGAAAATGGTTGATGAAGGTGGTGTATGTTGGCTTGGTCTCAGAGAAGCCAATTTGGTCCTCCGACATCTCCTCCGGATCGAAGTAATCACCGGTTGGTCGAAGGCCAGTAATAGCGGCCACGTCGAAGAGTGTGGGGGTTAACATCCCACATGGAAGATGAAAAGTAAAATGGGAGTAGTCCCAGAACAACAGCGAAGCTATAAGCATCTCTGGGGAGTAGTTTAAGCCTGTCTTCGACAGCATCACTAGGTCGAAGATTCCCATTTCCTTCCAGATTGGAGTTTGATGCTTCTCCAACTTCGTTAGCCAAGCAACATAGTCGGAGGTCAGATTAGGGCAAGACCTGAAGACCCTAACCCCTCTGTTGAAGAAGCGGAGGTCTATTTTTTCGCGAGTAGGGTCTTCGTTGTCTTCTGCGTCTTTCTTGGCGCAGGCTACTGGCTTGAGTTTCTCGACGATTGGGAAATAGCTCTTGATCTTCAGAGCTTCAGAGATGCTTGGATTCATGGGGCCAGACATTGCGAAGATCTGGTTGGAGTATCCAACCGGGATCATCAAGTGACGCGAGTAAGCATCGCGAACGGAGATGTCAGAAGGTTCAGGAACCCTTCGTTTGCCCGTAGAGTTTACTACCGGAGCAGTGACGAAGACTTTGGGTTTAACATGTTGTTCAGTTGGTGCGTTAGCCTTGGGAGCAGTAGAAGCAGAGGCCATTGTTGAGGATGAAGATGAAGTGAAAGAGGAAGAGTTTTCTGCAAAGAGAGCAAGCTTGTACGAAAACAAGGAAGTTTGAAGACTAGTTTGCGTAAAAAGTCCCACAATGGGATATTCACTACTATTTATAGTAGTGGGAGAAATCCCCAATAACGAGGACATTAAATGTCATTTAATGCTGCAGGAGTTAGTGGGACGCGTGGCAGCATCCTGTTGTTTTGGCCGTTTCTGCAGAAACAAAGGGACGCAGCGCGCGTCCTCGTTTTTGAGATTTGTCATAATGACAAACTCTGAAATGACGTTTGGTACTGCACGCCGTACTGAAAGTGATGTCCTAGGATCAAATCAATGATGGTTTCTTGGGATTGCCAATAGTTGGTAAAAAGCAACAAAAAGTGCACAAGTTAACTTGTGACTAAGCGTGGAAAGACAGGTGTCGAATGGCGTTTTCAAAGAATGCCTTTTTCTTTCAAAGTCGAAATAAGGCATTCTTGGGGGGCAATTTGTTGGCTCCTAAATTCGACACCTTTGTTTTGATTGATGTCAGCCATTAAGAGCTGAAAGATGCTTTCGACTGGCTGAGTCTGTCGAAGTGTCCGTCGAAAGATGGCAAAATACTTAGAAGATTTCTTCCAAGGAAGAAGGCTGAGTGCCTTCGACGTTGAAGGAGTTTCTCGTCGAAGTTGTCTCTTGACGAACGTGTTCGATGGTCCAGAGTGGAGCAGTTTGAAATTCAAAGCTTTGGAGGGAAAACGGTTTCCAGCAGTTACTACGTGCAAACGTGCAGGGATCTGGAGCGTCGAGCATGGAGAACGTGCCAAGTGGCTTGATCTCGAAGCAGTGTAACTGCCCGACGGTTACTTGGAATGTTTTAGTATAAATAGGAGTAGACATGTAGTTTCTCGCGTGTGTTCACAATTCCATACATAGTCACTCATTTAGATTCAAGTACCCAGCGTGTGAGAAAGAATTGTTGAGAAATGTATGTGTGAAACACCAATTTTATCAATTAAAGTCATTTACTTTCCCAGAATTTTACTTGCTTTTCTCTTTACATTTCCCGTCGAACCTTTACTTTAAAGCCTTGTTTATTTTACCAAGCCTTTCCTTTATGCAATTTACTTGAAACCATTTACTTAAAGCCTTATCCAACTTAATCAAACTTCAAAATCAACCTATGTCCATAGGATCAATCTGATCGATCCTGCGAGTAACCAAATAAGTAACCATTTGGAGGATCAGCGGTTGTTTACCAAAACCCAAGGTAAACACTTGGATATCAAGATAAAAAGAGCAAGCTATGGTAATCATTGAACATTTAGTTGTGTTGATCAAGTATGGATGATCAACTTGTGGTGATCAAGTAATTAGAGATCAATATATCAATGGATATCTATGGAGACAACACCTTTTGTCAAATGGCGTTCGGTGAAGTCATCAAAGATCTTGAATGAAGCAACGTGTCTTCTAATGAAGGTTATAAATGAAGAGTTATCTCAAGCCTCATTAGAAGAAGGCTCAAGGTTCCAAATAAGTGCTAAAGTTCAAGATAATGCGGCAAACCATAAGCTTTTGAGTTTTGAAAGAGGGGAGTGTGAAAGATCGCTTGTGCGTGTCAAGTGTTTATTGTTTGTAAAGGTATAAGATGAACTCTCAATTTTATTAAGGAAAATCACACACACAAACCTCTTGAAAAGGCTCTCTTGATTTTATAAAATCACCTAAAAATGTTTTAAAAACTTAGCCAATTGATTAGGGAACTGTATGATCATTTAAAAGCATGTTTTGAAAAGTAATAATCGATTAAGCATCGGGAGTAGTCGAATATTTCACTTTGTAATGCTAAAAATTGATTGGAGGGGCTCCTTAAATGATTAGCAGTGGCTAAAAGTCAACAGATTTTATTTTTGTGTCGCATAATCGATTATGCCTTGACATAATCGATTATGAGGCTTAATTAATCCAATATTTCCAAATTTATATCACGCTTTGGCCTATTAATAAAGGGCCCATCCATCATTTAAAATCGTCTAGAAAATGGATTTTAATCCTTCTTTTCTCACTTTCCACTCTTTCTCTACAAATCTCTCATTTTCTCACTTTAGTTTTGTCTTTGTGCTTTGAGAGTGACAGTGTCTTTGTGAGGATCTTTGTTTGTGGTGAGGGGAAAATTTTTAAATTTCTCAAGTGTGTATCATCTCTTGTGCAATATTTTTCCTTGTAAGAATGGGTTGTTTGGTTATGAGATAAACCATTAAAATTCTCTTTTGGTTATTGAGGCAAACTAGTGAAAACCTCATATTAGTTGGGGAGTTCTCTATAGTTAAAATTCTCAGTTACTTCGTGAGCTTAGCATGCGGTCAAAACGCTCTCATTTGATTCTGGAGGTCTTCCTACTGAATGCTCTGTCTTGGTGGGTAGTTAGTCATTGAAAAACTTGTGTCTTTGTAAAAGGAGGTTCATGGGCAAAGCTTGTAAAAAACTTACATTATTAAAAACTCACATCATTAAGAGTGGACCTATATAAATCTCTGGTGCATTTATCTCACCCCTTAACTCTTAATTATTTTTGTTGTTTTTCACTCTGTTTGTTTTACAAAGGATTTTGAACTTTGTTTTTACAAAAAAAAAATCAAAATATTCACTCCTCCCCCTTGTGTTTGGAGTCTCATCTCTAAGACATTTTTGGATAAAAGTACGAAAGAGTCAGTGTAGTTTGTATCCAACAATAACAAGGGTATGTCATACTTAAAACGGGTGTTGTAGAGGTCAGTGTGAGCAACAAGAAACGGAACTGATAGCAATTTATCTAATATATAAAAGAGAAAATTAAATATTCATGTATCCCATGGGATGATGCAGTTTTGACTTGTTAAAACAAAAAGTTAGACAACAATTGCATTGTAAAGTTCGAGTATGAAGATAGTAAAAAATAAAGAGAAAAATAATTCAATTTTAGTAAAGTAATATAATTAGAATTAAGATGTAATAACTATTAATGAAAGACTGATTAACTCGTTACAAATTTGACTAAATGTTGAATTATCAAGAGAATCACACTTTATAATATATTTTTAGATGCAATATAAAAATAGATATGAAATTTCATCTCACACTTCAAAGATTGTGCATAAGTTAATTTGTAATTAACTTGAGATTAATCTAGAAGTCATAGATACCAATTTCAATCATCATTAGAAATACTATGATATTATAAGTACTTTTGTCCAAGTAAGACTAATTAGTGATGAGTATGGACTAAAACTATGACTAGGCATGACAGATAGTATGAATCAAATTTCTTGATTCCCATTGCTTTTCAATGTTTTCAATAGTCAAACTAGCGGGAACTATAAAAATTTCACATTCCCTCCTATTTCAAAAGTTGTTTAATTTTTGCCACCAACTCTACTTTTTTGAAATAAATACTAATAATATTGAGTGATCGAAATTGAATCCACGCAACACACAAAGAGAATAATAGAATTATACAATTCATAAATAAACTTTATCACAAAACAGCACCCATCCTTACAACTTGGCATACAAACTGAATTTGTGCAAATCTCACCTAATCAAAGTATACTAGTTATGGTTATACAAAAGACAACATAACCTTGTGCTTCTTTAAGTGTTAGATCCATTTTGAAGATTCAATAGATCCTGAATTCAAATATGAAAAATCCAAATCCAAATCCAAATCATGTTATTATTATTACATTGTATACTTATTATTATCATCTATAACAAAATCTTTCTATTCTGCCGACATAAGGGGACTGATTTACACGATCTTAATAAAGATAAGAAAATGAAACAAAAAAATGAAGAAAAAACAGATAATATATATATAGAACCAAAATTGAACTTAGATTCATTCATTGCTTACAACACACTCATAACTCTCTCATTCTAGAACAACAATAATCAGTAGCAGGAAATAAAAATTTACATTTATGAAAAGGTTAGGCTCATACTGATTTGGATTTGATTTGGATCCTAAACCTAAAACAATAATCTACTAAATTCTAAAATTGAAAAAGGGCAGAGATCTAGGGTTTAACTTAGGCATAAACGGATCCATAAGATAATGACATCAAAAGCACCGCCGCTTTTTCTTCTTCTCCCAGTTTCTTCCAATGCGATCTCTGCATAAACACTTCTTTCCCCAAATTCAACAATCTCTGCTTCATGCTTAAATTATCTCCAACCTTGCTTCCACCGCTTCCGTTACTCTTTTTCCCCTTTCTCATTCCATCCTCGTGGTTTCCTTTGCTTATCCCTAAGATCGCTCTCTTCTTCTTCCTGCTCCTGATACCACAAGCATTGCACAGTGACTGTACAATCGAACAAAAATTAGATCAGATCAAGAGCTAATAACAGTGATTAATTATCAAATCGAAAAAATTAGTGATGATTAATATTAATTACCTTTGGACCTGCAGGACCGCCTCGCCATAGAGGTGTTTTGGAAGTTCCGCAATCGGCGCAGGTTTTCTTTGGACTGTTTTCCGATGAAACGGCGTTAGGGTTTGAATCTTCTGCTTCTGATCCCTGAAAAGAAATGAAATAACATGATCAGTGATTTGATTCGAAGTTCGGAATCGTGATTCGTGAGTGATTGAAGTGAGAAAAGCTAATCGATACTCACCTTTCCGCTATGATCAACCACCATTCTGATTCTGATTCTGATCAAACAAAAACGCGATTCCGGTGGGTGAATCTTTAACGGAAATGGATGAATCAGAATGGAAGATCGAGCATGCAAGATTGAGAAAATGATGATGATGAAGTGAGTGTTTAGAGAGAGAAAGAGAGAGAGATTTATAGAGAGAGAGAGAGAGTGAGAGGGAGGAATTGTAAAGAGACACTGATATACTAGCACACACGCACGCAGTAGCCGCAGCAGATCTATAAACACCAGATCTTTATAAATGCAAACTCAAAACCCTAAATTTTCTCCTTTTTAAATTACTATTATACCCTTCTCATTTTCCCAATTCTATTTTCACCCGCCAAAACATCCTAAAAATTGATAAAAGGCGGCACTGTCTTTTTAACCATTAGATTGTATTTTTTATCATCTCATTTCATTATTAAATCATAAGTGTTCTAAGGGTACGTTGGAGAGTTTGAAGAAAAATAGAGAGAATTTTGAAAAATAGAAAGGATCGGATGAAAAGAATAAAAAAAATTTGTTTGAAAAAATTTTAAAGAGTTTTGGAAAATTTAATTAATTAATTTATAAATAATTTTTGTTATTACAGTATTTTAAAAATTAAAAATATATTAATTATAAATATCATTTTATTATTTTAAATAAAAAAATTTCAAAAAATATTTAAAATTTCTTTATATTTTTTAAAAAAATCATTTTTTAAAATCTTCTCTTCTTCTTCCTCCGTCCAAACTCCTAAGCACAACCTAAATATATTTCTAATTATAAGATTTATTTTATTTATAATATAAATTTTTTATAAATAAAAATTATTTATTAATGAAAATGTATTTTTTTATTTTATGATGTCAAATATTATAAAAATAAATTATCAATTTAGTCTTTCAAAACATTTATAAACTACTCTATCATTTAACTATTTAAGATTTTTCTAAAGGATTAAATAGTTGGATGAAAAAAATAATTTAATAATTTTGAAATTGATTTTAATAGTTTAGAGAATTATAAAAGATGTTAGTTTGGGGACTAAATTGTATGTTTTATTTTCTTTTAATATTTTTGAATTTTATTAGAAAATGTTATAATGAGAGATGAAGAAAATAGTCGTAATTATGAAAACAATTATATTTATCAAAAATTAAAATAATTAAATTTTATTAATATTAATATTTTTTTAATATAAAATTGTTTTTGTTAAAAGGTTAAGAAAATAGAAAATAAAAAAAAGGACTAATTTTAAATTAAAAAAAAGTTAAAGTTTTTGTAACTTCATTTCAAGACTTACTTAATTTCAAAGGAAAGAAAAACGTGACTGAGAAGATTAATGATAGTAAACTATTTTTTTTTTCATGAAGAATGTAGATAGTTCTATATCTCTTGTTACCACTTAAAATATTTTTAATATTTTAAATCAATATTGCATATTTATTATATTTATTTAAGGAGTTTCAATGAAAGTAATGTTTATAATATTATTATGTTAGTTTATTTTTCGTGAAGGAGTAATTAATATTTTTATTAGAGTATTATATTCATTAAAAGTTGCAGAAAAACATGTAACACAATTAAAATATATTTATAAAAATTTCTATGAAATTTAATATAAAATGGAAAAAGAAAAAACTTTAAGATGTAATTAACTTCTTTAGTTTAAATTTTTAAACAATTATTTTAGACCGTTCATTAAGAAGAGAATTAAAAAAAAATGTTTTTAGGTGCAATGCTGGCACCTTGAATGAACATTGGTGGTCAAGGTTGCTTTATCATTAACATTGGTACTTTATTTACTATAATGGTACTGTTACAATAACATATGCAAGAAAAACAATATTACTGCTAATGTAAGTAACTCCGTAAATAACACAAAAGACAAACAATACGACGATGGTGTGATCGTAACCATACATGACCAAATAGGTAAAAAAATAACCACACAACGGTAGGGAAAAATCACGTTATTATGATTTCTTCGTTTCTTAATTTATGCTACAAAATACATAAATCACGTGTTGTAGTCAGAGACAAAAGTACGACTGGACCGGAACGTTTGTTTTGTGTGCCTCTGTGGGTGTCTAATGGCCTCCTATTGCATCCAAGCTTCTTCCTCTAAACTCTAATACACCATTTCAAATTTCATACCATGATCGTAGGTAGACTTGAGGGATTCAATATGAGATTGACAGGGATATCTCTTTCATTATTCTAGTAGCACAAAACGGAGATAATATATTTAACCTCATCGGATTCAAGTTTGCTTAGGTAGAATCGACTAACAAATCTAACTTGGAAAATCGTACGAGTTTATTTAAAATTAAAATAAATGTATATATTGTAATACAGTATATCAATATAATATTATAAATATTTTTTTCTGGTCATATTTATAAGAAAAAATTCTTTATTTAGATATATTGAATAAATAATGTATTTTGATAATATTATTTAAATATATTATTTATTTAATATATCTAAAAAAAAATTATAAATAAAATCTAAAGTAATATTATATATATATATATATATATATATATATATATATATATATATATATATATATAATCAGATTAAATTATAAAAACATTGCATGAATTTTTCAACAGTACATTGTATATTACTTATATATGGACACATGATTTTCAATAATTCATTGTATACTATTTGATCGTATCTGATCATAAGGGACTATCAAGGCCTTCGAATTTGGTGTTCAACAACGATTTGATGTGAAAGTATGAGAGTACTAGCAAGTATGAGAGTATGTGAGTTAAAGAATTAATATTTGACTTTCTCAAATGAGAGTGTATTTATAGCTCTCAACGCTGAGCCAAGGTCTTCAATGATGGGCCAATGATGAGGCCCAACAAGAAAGATTGTCAGGGTTTATGTGTGTATGAGGTCTAGCACATGGATCCCTCCCTGGTCAACTGTCCTGAGAAAGTAGGTATTGGACTCGTTATTCCTGGAGAGCAGTATGATAACGGTTTGGACACATAGGTAACGTCTTCTTAGCGGACACGTGGGGAAATGCCCAACGGTCATTATGTTGGGCTGCAGCTTTGGGCCTTTGATAGAGGCATTGGACTGGGCCTCTCCAACAGCGGGGAAAGAGTTGGTCCAGTCCAGAACAGGAGCCCCCCAAGTCATTGCTCGTAGATGAAAGGGTGATGACTTGAGTTCAATTCTACTGTCGGGGAAACCTAGCCCGCAAGGGGAAATTGCCCAACTCCGCCGAGGATGATATGTGGTTTGATGTCGAGATGCATAAGACATGTGTGTGGCATGATCGACTAGGTCAGAGGGTGGTCCCTCAATCAGTTTTAACTCTGATATTATTGGTGTTGTGCCTTCCAGGCACATATGTCTATGTGAGGCGAGGGATTCCCCGAAATTTCTTTTGATGCGCTCGTCTATGAGGAGCTGACCCGATGTCGAGCGTTTGCCTGGCCTTTAGGGGAATATTATAGATTTGCTCGTAATCATGGCTGCATTGGGGGATTGTCTGTTGCCCATCCCTGGGACCGAAACATCGCCCATTGGCCCGTATATGATGTTCAGTGGATGAGTTAGGAACAAATTTGTCTCCAAGAGTGGGCATGTGGCTGCTTGTCACACTACGTGGCAGCTGTTTTTGGGTGCCACTTTTTCATAGGAGAGTTCAAAGGCCCAAAGTTGTGCTGACTTTTCGTATGTTGTCTCGTGGGGTGTGAACCCTCTATAAATAGTTAAATCATTGAGCTCATTTGTCATTTTCACGTTTTCCTCTCCATCCCTTTTCTTCTGCTCGTGGATCTCTTTCGTTCCAGCATCACCCCAACATTTCAACCAAGATACTTCCAAGTAAGTCATATTTTCTTGATGATGTTTTTTTCCATATTTTTATATTGAATACTTAGTTTTTATTATGAACGGGTGAACTTCTGGATGAATGTTCATGAGTTCTGTCATGAATCTTCATGGGTGTTCATCAAAGTTCAAGGCCACGGGAGAAGGTTCGTACACCCATCTTCATGTATGTCGGGGTCGTCCTCCCCGTGTAACGGGGAGGTTTTTGGACCACCCAGACGTCCCCGCGCAGGGCGTGGTTCATTCTTAAGTTGGTCGATGAGAGCTTGGGTCTGGTTCCATTCCTCAATGCAATCATCGCCCTTTCACTTGATTTGCGGTGGAAGGGTGAATTTGATGATGTCGAAATCACTGTTTTCCCCTGCCTTTCAGGTACGATGGCCCACCAAATCGAGGATAACATTATTCTCACCACCCATGAGGAAGACAATGTTATTGAGGAAGACCTTTTGGCCTGGGTCGCGCCTGAACCTAGGAAGAAAAAGTCGATATTCTCGTAGGATGCTACTGATGCGTTCAACTGCCTAGAGGTTCGAGCACAGAGTGCCTCGGTCAATTGGGTCATGCAGATCCCTCGTAGAAACAGAAGAATATGCTCGTCGTATCCGGGAAAACGCTTCCCATGTATGAATTTGATTTCAAGGAAGCGGGGATGTATTTTCTCTTCAACGATTTCCAGGTCGGGGTCTTTTAGTGTTTACAATTGGCTCCCTCTCAGCTTCACCCAAATGCGCTTGCTTTCATGCTCGCCTTCGAGCTCGTGTGTCAATATTTACATATAGGCTCCATGTTATCCCTATTCTTTCGTATATTCCATCTGCAAGGGCATTCTATCACAGGGGGACAAGCCTGAGTGTCCTTTAAGCAGTACGGGAAACTCTTCCTGTCGTATCTTGAATCCGTCCGTCATTTTAAAGAGAGGTACTTCGTCGTGAAGCCTCTTACAGGTGTGGCCGTGACTTCATTGTGAATGCTTGGAGGCGGTCGAGGAAGGTCGGTTAGTAGTTTAATTGAACGCTAGATTTCCTCTCGAATGGAATTGGAGACATTTCCAGAAGAAACCCGAGTATTATGCAGTGAAACCAGAGGATTTAGATGCCGAGAACCAGCTTTCTTATGAGAAGCTAATGACCTACGCTAGGAGTTTCATGTCG